GCCCAGGGCTGGGGTGGCAGGGTGGGTGGGGGGGGGGGGAGAGCCCAGGGCTGGGGCAGCAGGGGGGTGCGGCGAGGAGCCCAGGGCTGGGGTGGCAGGGTGGGTGGGGGGGGGGGGAGAGCCCAGGGCTGGGGCAGCAGGGGGGTGCGGCGAGGAGCCCAGGGCTGGGACGGAGGGGCAGCCAACATTTTTTTTGCTTGGGGCGGCAAAAAACCTAGAGCGGTCCTGGACAGAAGCCCAAGAGGGTCCCGTTGATTTTCTACTCAACCTGACCCAGACCTGACACTCCCATCAGGTTTGGGTTGCATTGCAGGGGTCTGCTCCTTACTACCTGTCACATGGCCCTCTGTGTTCACCACCTACACTACAGGCTGTGGAGAGGGTGACATAGGAGCTGGCTCTGCTGGCTCAAAGACTGCTATGGTCTCATCCATGCAGAGAGATTTCCCAGGCAGAGAGACTTGTGGGAGGTTTGGGAAGTGTACAAGGGAAATGTGTATGGGGATAGATAGATAAATAGATCATTTGGTCCATTTCACAAACGGGCTATATTAAGAAGTAGGATTCCAATGACATTAAATTTCATCCCAATTTTCACACCACCCTCAGCCCGCTCTCTGCTCTCATATATAACTGATTAGTCTGGTGTCTCTTGTCTTTCTATTGTCTTTCCCCACTAGTTATTCCATCCTGCAGTGTGGTTCGCTGCAGAGAAGGAACTATTTGCAAGATGATAAATGCACAGCCAGAGTGTGTGCCAGTCTCGCAGGCCACGTGCTGGGCTGGGGGTTACTTGCATTACCACACCTTCGATGGACGGGCGTATGATTTCCACGGCACCTGCAACTACATGGTGGCCAAGACCTGCAGGGGTGACTCCGTCCTGCCCTCCTTCCATGTCACGGCCAATATCGAGAACAGGGGGAACACACAGGTCTTCTACATTGGGTCGGTAACTGTCCAGGTGGATGGAGTCACCATCACAGCAGCCAGGGCTGAGGTTGGCTTTGTGTGGGTAAGTGTTGAGTGTGGTCAGTACTTAGATAGGATACCTTGAAAACATTTACCCAAGGTGTTGCAGGGGGTAGAATTGCTTAAGTAGTAAAGGGTGCTCTCCTCCTGAATTGGTGTGTCCCTGAAGCCACAGCACTGTACTAGGGGATGCTGTACTATGTTCAGATGTACAGGTATCCCCAGTAGGGTGCACTCTCCTGTTGGAGTCAGTGGTGACCCCAATTCCCATCATGGCAATACCAGGTGCTGTGTGTCATAGAATGGGGCAGGTGGCCAGCAGGGGGCGCTGACCCAATTCCAAAGCTCTGTGCTTGGGGCTACTGTCAGCAACTGGGATGTGGGTGGTCAGACGTACTGGCTGAAGCAGTGGCAGTCAGGGCTAGTAGCCAGATCTGGAGTCAGGAACCAGGAGTCAGAGACAAGGGTCAAAACAACCTCCCCAGGAATTGCGTCACTCGCCGATGGCTCTAACTGACACAGCCCCTTCCCTCACAGGAGCCACTCCCTAACAGCTCTATCCAACGCGGGCCCCTCCCCCGCAGAAGCCACTCCCCAATGGCTCTATCCAACGCAGCTCCTCCCCCTCGGGAGCCACTCCCCAACGGCTCTATCCAGTGCGGCCCCTCCCCTGCAGGCGCTGCTCCCTAACAGCTCTAACGCACACGCTAGGGTTGCCAGGCATCTGGTTTTCAATCTGAACACCTAGTCGAAAAGGGACCCTGGCGGCTTTGGTCAGCACAGCTGACCGGACTGCTAAAAGTCCGGTTGGCCGCAGAGGGGCAGGCAGGCACCGTACCCAGCTCAGTGCAGCTGGCATGTCCCTGCGGCTCCTACGCGGAGGGGCTGCAAGGGGGGCTCTGCGCACTGTTCCTGCCTGCAGACGCCGTCCCGAGCACCGGTTCTGCAGCTCCCATTGGCCGGGAACCGTGGGAAATGGAAGCTGCGGGGGCAGGGCCTGCGGCTGGGAACACTGCACAGAGCCCCCTGGCCTGCAGGCGGGGGCAGCACACAGAGCCCCGTGACATGCCGCCATTTCACATGGACTTCCTCCATCCCTGGAAAATGCTGGGGCTGCCTGAGGTCAGCGCCGCCCGGAGCCCACACCCCACAAACCCTCCTGCATCCCAACCCCCTGCCCCATCCCTGAGTTCCCTTCCGCACCCAAGCTCCCTCCCGGTGCCTGCACCCTGCACCCCCTCCCATACCCCAATCCCCTGCCCCAGCCTGGAGCCCCCTCCCACACCCTGAACCCCTCATTTCTGACCCCAGCCCAGAGCCCAGAGCCCACACCCCAACCCCCTGCCCCAGCCCGGAGCCCCCTCCCGCACTCCAGACCCCCCGGCCCCACCCCCAGCCCAGAGCCGCCTCCTGCACCCCAAACCCCTCATCCCTGGCCCCACTCCAGAATCCTCACTCCCAGCTGCAGCCGTCACCCCCTCCTGCACCCCAACCCCCTGCGCCAGCCCAGAGCCCCCTCCCACACTCCAAACCCCTTGGCCCCAGCCCGGAGCCCCCTCCAGCACTCCAAACCCCTCATCCCAGCCCCATCCCAGAGGCCAAACCCCATCCGACAGCCTTCACCCCCTCCTGCACCCCAACCCCCTGCCCCAGCCTGACGAAAACGGATGAATGAGCAAGGATGGGAGAGAGTGAGCGACAGAGTGAGGGGGGATGGAGTGAGGGGGGCAGGGCCTCTGAGAAAGGGCGGGGCCTCAGGGCAGGGAGCAGAGCAAGGGTGTTCCGTTTTCTGCAATTAGAAAGTTGACAACCCTAGACGTGGCCCCTCCCCTGCAGGAGTCGGTCCCTAATGGCTCTAACTGACACAGCTCCCCCTCCGTAGCTACTTCCTAATGGCTCTAACTGATGTACCCTCCTCGCCCTCAAAATTCCAACTTTTGAACTGTTTACAATGTCGTGGTCGCCATGCTGGTACCAGGGTGTTAGAGAGACAAGGTGGGAGAGGAAATGTCTCTTATTGGACCAACTTCTGTTGGTGAAAGAGACAAGTCTTCCAGCTACCCAGAGCTCTTCTTCAGGTCTGGGAAGGGTACTCAGGGCTGATTTATGCTAGAGAATTAGATTGACCCAGATGTGTCGCTCAGAGGCACATAGGTGCCAACTTTTTGGTTCCCGGGGGGTGCCCCAACCCCTCTACACCCCTTTCCCCAGCCCCCACCTCTTCCCGCCCCCCTCTCCACCACTTTCCCCAAGTCCCTGCCCCCTCTGCACCCCTTCCTGCCCCCGCTCCTCCCCCTCTCCCCCAGGCGCCTCCTGCATACTGCGAAACAGCTGACCTCGGTGAGCAGGAGGCACTGGGAAGGAGGGGGAGGAGCTGATTGGCGTGAAAAATCCACACTCTGAGCAATGTAGTTAAGCCATCGGAGGGGCTTGTCTACACTTACAGAACTGCACCAGTGCAACTGCACAGCTGTAGCGCCTAGTGAAGATGCTACCTAGGCCGACAGGACAGGTTCTCTTGTTGGCAAAGGTACTCCGCGCAGTCTACACTACAGTGCCAGGTCAATGCAAAGCCGTTGACCTCGACCTAACTACGGTAGGTTAGAGTCTACAGTAAAATTTCGCTCCCGCCGACATAACTGTCCCTGCTACATCGACTTAGTAACTCCACCTCCATGTGAGCTGTAGAGTCAATGTCAATGTAGTTAGGTTGATGCCATATCAATGTAGGTACTGCGTTGATTACATGGACTGTTACTGGCTTTGAGAAGCCATCCCACAATGCCCCACACTGACCGTCCTGGTGAGGATGCACATCGCACAGACACAAGGAGCAAAGAGTAGACATGCACAAGTGATGTAATCACTGAGGTGGCTTTATGCTGACGAAAATCAGGTCAACTTAATTGTGTAGTGTAGCCATGCCCTGACAGGTGGTACCTATGTCAATAGGAGATGCCCTCCTGTCAAAATAGCGCTATCTGCACTGGGGGATAGGTCAGTATAACTGCTCAGGGGTGTTGGTGTCACTAGGCATCACCCTAGGTAACTCGGGGGGTTGGAAGACCCGAGAGTCGATGAAGCCCCCGCCCCGCTCTAGGCCAAAGTGAATCAAAGCCCCTGCATGTTAAACTTTACTAACGTCACAGGCCAGCAGCTGGGAAGCAGTAGTGATAAGGGAAACCTACATGCTTCTAGCTAAAGGACAAGATTACTTGCAGAAAGAAACAGTGAGAACAAGCTGCACTGCCAAGGTCATGTAATGTAACCAGGGGTAGAAAGGGGGAGATGGTGGGGGGGGGGGGG